GGCTTAAGTACCCGGCCGTGGGGTGGACAAGGGCAATGGCCTGGGTGCGGTGCGCTGTCACTGTGCCGCCCCGGCGGGGTGCGGTGTGGGAGTGGTGTCTAATAATAATTTTAGTGGAGGAGAGGGTCTATAGTTTTGGTTTCATTCAATAAGTTATTTAAATGAATATGCAGGTTTTCTAAAGTAAATATGGTGTGGTAGTGATTTTCAATTTCCAGTATATGAATATCTGTGTGTGGATTGAATGTAATGTCCTGTCTGAAGTAAATGATTGGCAAAGTGAGATTTACAGGTGTTGTGCTTCCAAGCGTGTATACGTTCCTTAATTCTGGTATTAAAAGTTCTGCCTGTTTGACCAATATTTTTGGCTTCGCAGTCATGGCAATTTAGTGAATAGACGCCGTTTTTTTCTAAAAGTTCTGTGTGTTGTTTGAGGGGCAGCATTTTTTGAGGGAATTCTGATATTTGAATGCAACTTTGATAGCTGCTTTGTGAACATTGTGTGCGACTTTTTCTGAAAGGGGCCCAAAATAAGTTAAGCAAGTGTACTTGTCTGGTGTTTGTGTTGTTGAAGAAAGTGTAGTGTTTGACTATTTTGCGGCATAGTATGTTGTTAATAAGTTCTGTGCTGTAACCGTTTGACATAGCAATGTGTTGTATAGTGTTCAGTTCTTCCATAGAATGAGATTTTGCCAGAGGCAGGCTTAGTATCTGTGTATCATGTAGTGGAAGGCAGAATGTTTATGTTGAATAGGATGTTGTGACAAGTTATGGATGACAGTGTCTTTTATAAAATATCTTTTATATAATTATTATCAATGTTTTTATAAAATATCGTTTATGTATTTAATATTTACATAACTAAATTTTTATAAGTTGTTGCATTTATGAACAAAATTTACTTAAATGGTTTCTGCTGAAATTTGTCGAAAATTAAAAGTTTTTGTTGTAAAAATGAGCTCGAAATTGCGCCTTCTCAGAATTGTTCACATGACATTTTCTCAAGAACACCTCCAATTTTTCAAATGTAAAAGCAATGGGATATGCAATAGCAAGTTTTGGTTTACCTTTTGGAATTAGATTAAAATAAACAAGATGTCTCAATAATATTTCACTTTCATATACTACAGAATGTTTTCCAATTCAATTTTTAATTGATGTTAAAAAATGAATAGTAAAACTAACTAGGTGTGGCGCGAATGGCATATACTTTCTCATACTAAATTGTTTCCTTACCTCTTTAGTTTAGGTAACCATTTCGGTTTTGCACACCTTCAACCCAGCTGCCATCTATTGGCGTTCAAAAAGCCTTTTCTCAGTTTTTCGGTCCTCTACTAGTACACTTGCAATATGACTTAAATAATATTAGAAACGAGTTATCCCAAATTTTAATGATTTATTGAGCCGTAAAAAACCGAGCGTTGATTTGAGCAAAAATTGAGCATTTTTGGAATTGCGCAATTTTCAGTATTTTGATCTTACTTATGACAAACTTTAGAAAATTAGAGAAACTTCGTGAAAACCTTTGAAACACTTGCATTCACAAATCCATTATTGCGCAAAAACGTATTGTAATTAATTAATGAAAGAGCTAATTATGGACAGTAAATTTCATCTCGGAAAAAAATTCTATCTTCAATAATCTAGATGTACGGGGTTCCAAAACTGTTTAACCTTTGGCATTTAAAAAAATTCAGGGTTCTTCAAGCATTCTAAATATCCGCGACACTTAGTAAAATTGACCGGAATAGTAATGTTCTGTGAGCAGCTTTACGTAATTTATGCCAGTTCAATAACTCTTTCAATCAGGAAATTACGCAAGCAGACATTTTGGGACAAGAACAAACACATCTGTTTTTTTCTTTTGTCGTCGCCTGTGAGAATATAATTAGAAAATCTGGATATCTTCCTGACTCCACTGATTTCACGACGGACTGTCCAAAGAGAAGTGTCCCTTACGGCAATCAAATGAGAAGTAAGTTTCTTACGACAGCCCCATGACAAGTGCTCCTGACAACAGTCAACCAAGAAGTAAGTTTCTGCAACCGGTAGAGTCTCCTCCACCTCTGCTCTCCCCAACCTTTTGTTTCAGAAAGTTCTAGATCGCTCTAAAATCTAAAGAACACGCCTTGCCACTTGCTTATTCACTTCGCGGAATTATTCATTCGCGATCATAGAAAGAGCCTTAGGGGTTCCTTCTGGTAAATTCCATTATCTCCATCCTTGTTCCTCACTCTGTTTATAAAATGCTCGTGGCTTCGCTGCGTGCGTTATCGTCGTCAGTGGCCCAAAACTTTCCATTACTACAGTTAATCATCGCCAAGTTCCACGGGCGGGCGTGTGCGAGAGATGGGCGAAGGGTGCAGCTACTTTTTCCGCAGGTGCTTGGCCTTGCATAAACAGAGGGGATGGTGTCTCGGCGGGTGCCGCGTGCCTCTTACCTTAGACGCTCGCAAAGAAAGGGGCTGGCAGAAAATGCGAGAGAGATGGCCAACCGTCCGGCGCCGTCGAAATCAACAACAGCTCTCGAGTTCGTCGATTTTACGACGCATTTGGTCGTATTTCGCAAAAACTAATAACACGTATTTTAATAAATTTTAATTACAAAAATTCAGTGATGCCACATTACAAACTGTCAACCAAACACACTAATGCTAATGGAACTTTATTATTCATTGGTAAAGATGACTATGAGGTGACGTTCATTTAATGTTGGTTAAACGAGGAATATCAATGTTGTGAATGATACAAAAACTTGTGTACAAATTCATTAATTTCAAGTTTCATTTCTTTATATTATTCGTCGTCAGATAATTAAGTTTTATTCGTAATAGAAGAAAGGAATTTTTCGGTGTAGATGAAAGCAGTTACCCCAACACAGAATCTAATTGAATATAGATTGTCTCAACAAATGTATTCAAAAGTGTTTACAATATTGGGTCACTCTGAAGAAGATCCAAAACCTAAGTGGTTCCAAACCAAAGAATACTTGTCTGATAATTTGCTCTAACAGAATTTAAGGGGAGAGTCAACGGAATTGTCAGCGTTCTTTGTCCATAATTTGGAGATTATCAAAGTTGTGTAATTTTGTTACATTGGAGAGATTATTTGGACAAATTCCCTAGTAGTGGTGGGGAAAGAGCTCGCAACACGTCTGGCAACACATCTTGAAAGTGTCACCGCGTGGGAAGGAGGCCTTCGCTTTGTGGCGCCACCTTCAGTAACCAGGAATGCCATAGTGGGCGCGATACCGTCAATTGGGCGAAAAACAAGCGTAAACTCGCGGGAAGAAATGAATGCATTTCACGGGATTCCGTCCATTGGAGGTCCTTGTTTCCCGGAAGAATTTTGGGCCACATGCTTTATTTGCGCATTTAAATCGTGCTAATACATTTCTCCACAAACTGTACAAGTATTGAAAGCTTCTGCCAGAAATAGCGTATGCACAAGTGTTTTAGTTTTGAACACCTTGTAATTATGCAGCAATTATTATAATGTGTCAGAGCCCTTTCATTTTAAGACATGCATTCTGCCCATTTTCTAGGAATTATACAAGTATTTAAGTCATAAGACTAGAATTAATGGGTAGACTTTATGCACAACAGTAATTTTAAACATGTTATCGTGCAGCTATTTTGGAATTATGAGCTCCAGTGTTAGAGTCGGTTTTTATTCATCGCTCATTTTTTCCCCACTAGGTTATTTGGCCCACTATCTGCCTCTGAAATGAGAGGGTAGTCAGTCGAATGATCATTCTCGCAGCGGCTAAACGTGCGTCCCTCGCCCTGTTATTCAGTTCACGAATTATGCCAATTCACAGCTCTAGCTTGTAATAAGCGTGTGTAGAACATTTCTTTACTATGTGTAACGTAACATGCACTTGCAAAAAAAAAACCGCTGCTAATTTGTTGCAACAATGACTTGTGTTAGAACAATGTGCTGCACAATGTTTCGTGTTCTATTGTTTGAACTCATAAACAGTGTAAGTTTGCCTGTGCTACCTAAACTACAATTATGTGATTAGAACACGGCCCGGGTGTATACTGCATATTTCACATCGTGCGTAGTGACGCAACGTGCTAATCAGTTTCACTAGCAATGCACTACTCGGTGCGGCAACTACAAACAAGTGAAGTGTTAGCCTCCGCTATGTAGTAAATGCACAACGCGCTTGCGTTCCTCATGCAAGCTCCATCACCCACGGACTACTCGCGCGGCTTCCAAGGGTCGCCACTGACCCGATGTCTGACGTCATCACTGCTGACCCGATGTCGGACGTCATCGCAAGCTCCCTCGACACGCGTATGGACTTCCTACATTCATGGGTCACTACAACATAATTATGTTTTCTTTACACCGTACTGTGTATGTCCGGAGTATTTTGTGTGTTCCAATGTGTATTGTGATTCCACTTCAGTAAATCCACGCCAGTGGCTAATTACTGTAACATTCTAAGTGTAGTTCCTGTCGTACAGTTATTCCTTGCATACCGCAATTTTTTTCAATCTGAACAACATCTACGGTGTATTTCAGTTTTCATAAACAATTACCTTTCTAAGATGTTGCAATTCCAGCAAATTAATTCAGTTATGTAATCATTCAAATCAATTATCATTCTCAAATGTATTTGTGCTTTCTGAATTTCCTTGTATGATAGTTGCCTTTTCAGAATATTGTTTCTATTTCACAAACTCCACAGCGTGTATGCTCACTCACAACATACTGGTCCTTCGAAAGCTATCGCGGTAAGTGGTGACGTAAGAAGAATTGATAGCTAATCCCCCACCCCCCAACAGTTCCCTGCTCTCATGATGCAAGCTCCTCCAAGTGATGTGCCTCCATGGTTGCCTCCTGTATTAGGATAAGCTTTGCTTTCGAGAAGACGCTTCGTAATGAGGTAAATGCATTTCTTAGTAGCAAAATACAGCGCTGTGCAGTTACCCTTGTCTCTTTAACGTCAGCGACATGTTCTAAGAGGAACATCGTGGATTGCGCATCACCTGACATTGCTGCTCACATAAGCGGTGTCGCTCTCTTTGCCCCTTGCATTAGGATCAGCTTTGCTTTCAAGGAGACGCTTCGTAATGAGGTAAACGCATTTCTCAGTAGCAAAATACAGCGCTGTGCAGTTGTCCTTGTCTCTTTGATTGATGTCGGCGCCGTGTTCTATGAGGAGCTCCGTGGATTGCGCATCGCCTGACATTGCTGCCATCATTAGCGGCGTGCTACCCTGAGTATCCTTCGCATTCGGATCAGCTTTGCTTTCGAGAAGGAGCTTTGTAATGCGGTGACAGCTTTTGTTAGTAGCGAAGTGGAGCGCCGTCCAGTTGTCCTCGTCCCTGAGGCTGACATCAGCACTGTATTCTAAAAGGAACTTCGTGGATTGCGCGTCGCCTGACATTGCCGCTCTCATTAGCGGAGTGACGCCCTTCTTGTCCCTAGCATTAGGATCAGCTTCGCTTACGAGAAGGCGCTTCGTAATGTAGTGATGGCATTTGTTAGTAGCGAAATGGAGCGCAGTGCAGTTGTCCTGGTCTCTTTGATTGATGTCGGCGCCGTGTCCTAAGAGTAGTTCAGTGGATTGCGCGTCGCCTGACATTGCTGCCAACATTAACGGAGTGAGGCCCACTTTGTTGGATGGATTAGGATCAGCATTGCTTTCGAGGAGGAGTCTCGTAATTTGGTTATGACATTTGTCAAGAGGGAAATGGAGCGCAGTCCGGTTATCCTTGTCCCTTAGACTGACGTCGGCTCCGTGTTCTAAGAGGAGTTTAGAGGATTGCGCATCTCCTGAATCAGCCGCCAACATTAGCGGCGTGACGCCGTCTTTGTTTGCTGCATTAGGATCAGCTTCGCTTTCGAGGAGGAGTCTCGTAATTTGGTGAGATTTCCCAACAGCGAAATGGAGAGACGTCGATTGCTTCTCGTTCCTTTGACTGACGTCGGCTCCATATTGTAAGAGGAGCTCCGTGGATTGGGCATCGCCTGACATTGCTGCCTTCATTAGCGGTGTGACGCCCTTTCTGTCTTTTGCGTTAGGGTCAGCTTTGCAGTCGAGGAGCATCTTCGTAATGTGGTGATATTTCTGCACAGCGAAGTGCAGAGCCGTGCAGTTGTCCTTGTTCCTTTGATTGACGTAGGCGCCGTATTGTAAGAGAAGCTCCGTGGATTGCGCATCACCCAACTCGGCTGTCAACATCAGTGGAGTCACGCCCCGTTTGTTCCCTGCGTTAGGATCAGCTGAGCTTTTGAGGAGGAGCTTTGTTATTTCGTATTTTCGACCGCTGGCTGCGTAGTGAATAGGTTGTCTGTTCCAAATGTCTTTTTGCATCACATTTGCACCATACTTTAATAAAATCTGTACAGTTTTTGTGTGTCCATATTTTGCCGCTATTATTATTGGGGTTTCTTTCCATTGAAATTGTATGTCTGCAAATGTGCCTTTTTCTTTCTGCAAGATCATGTCCATTATCTGTAAAACAATTAATAAAATATAAATTGTTAAAATTCCCTATTTTATTTGGGATTTCTCTGAATGATATGAATGTAAAATTAATCATTTAATAAAATCGTTCTTTCTCGCATTCTTTCTAAAACTGCAATTTTTGAAAAGTATATAATGCGACGAAAATGAGATTTGCTTCATTATTTTAAGCGTTCTTTCTTCTATTTGTGAAAACAAAATGTGCTGAAAACATTGAGAGCGGGTTTTGAGAAAACGTTTTTTTGTAAATTTCATTAATTTCAAGTCCAATTTACGTATGTATAATTTACGTACGTATAAATTGTCGTTGATACTCTGATAGAGCATATGAAAAGTTTTAGAGTATTTGGAAGATTCAAGGTTTTGTAGTTTTTTAATATTTCACATATTGCATGCAACATTGCACGAAATCTACTCTATTCTCAATGTATTACATGCCTTTATTGAAAACACTGTGGAGGGAAAAATTACTTAAAGAAAAAATATCTTATCTTCAGTTTTATAGTAGTAGAAATAAGCAGAAAACATTTCGAACGTTTGAAAGTTTCAAAAATTCAGAGTAAACAGTAAAAAAATGACCTATGCCATCTCTGTAAGTTTACGTTACTCTTTACTTCCAAAAAATTTGGAGCCATTTTTGAGAAAATTTTGAATATGTCCCTGGGGATTCTAAATACTCCTAAATTTTAAAGAATGATTTTCAAAATCGCAAAGCTTCGAGTCGAGCCAGATGGTTCGGGGAATATACATTTTGGAGAAATCCTACGTACGGTGAAGGCGCTAGTGGTGTTCATGGACCAGTACCATGGGACCACAATACGTGTATTGCCATTGAAATCTCGAAATCGAAAATGCCAATTCTCCTGTATTGTTGATTTGATTCAGGAAAGGAACTATTTCATTTGAATTACTCTCTTAAACAAGCAGTGCCGACACAGCCCGTTCTTTATCGCCCTTAGTAATCTATTACAAATTCTCTGCGAATTAACTCATTTCAGTCATTTTTGTAAAGTTCATTGCTATTTGTATAACATTTGGTGCGAAAAATAAATAACTTCAAGCAAATATCAACACAATTATAACTGCTATTCATACAAGTACAACATGTCCCAGCAATAAGACGTAATTCACAGAAGTTCAGCTGCCGTCTCGCGTGTCATTGTTGCATTCCAACTGATATTCACTGAAGGCTAGCAATTTTTCTTTCATATTAAATTCAAATAGTATTTTTTTAATAAAACCAAATAGGAATCATTTTAATTAAGGTTTGCGGATTTCTTGAAAGAAAATGTATCAATACATTGAAAATGCAAATACATTTCTTGCAACGTGGCCAAAAAATATGGATCGTCAAAAAGATTTTGGATAATTTCTAAAAGATTAATTTGTAACCGTATAACAAAAGCTCGAAGGTAAGAAATTAACAGAGAAATATGAAATAATAAGCGAATCACCTCGTATTCAAGAAGCGCAGGAAATTCGAAGCAAGCGACCAATTTCACGCCAAATTACAAACAAAATGCACATATTTTTTTAAAAATTGAACACTGCATTGTTTGAAGATCTGTTTTTGATGAACACTGTTCATTAAGAAAACAATCTTTAGAATTGTAGGTGTAGGAAAACGTCGAACTTTTTTTTTATTTTCTAAAAATGAAGCATTTTAACGAACATGGGTCAAGCACCATTCTCTTCATTGTTCTTAATGCTAAGGTCCAAATTTGATCAAAACATTTTGTGCCGTTTAAAAAAATGGTTTAAAGGAAATTAAAATTAATTAAAATTGCCTGTTTGACACACAATTTCGCACAAAATACGCATGTTTTCGAAAACTTTACGGTGACATTATTTGAAAAGGTGTTTTTAATGAACAAATTTCAGTTTAAATAACCATTACCTTTCTAATTTTAGTTGAAGGAAGACGCCAAAAAAATTTTCAAAAATTAAATTACCTACCAACATGACACCTGAACAATTTTTTTCAGTGTTCATTACACTGAGATCAAACTATAACCAAAATTGTTGGAGTCGTATTTGAGAAAAATATTGTCATTAAAAATAGCATATATTTCACACAAAATTACACGAAAAATAGTTGAATTTTCAAAACATTGTGCATGCTCTCATTTCAAAATATATCTTAAAGGAACTGTCTTCAGTGAGAGAAAATCTCTATCTTTAATCTTTTGGTAGTAGGAAGACACCGAAATAAATTTTGAACGATTTTTTTGAATACATTTTGAACGTTTTTCAACGAACATGAGACATGCACCATTCCATTAACCGCTCTTCAGAAAGTTTATAAAAAAATGTTTGAGCAACATCTTTTTTCAATTTTCTAAAGTGTCTTATCACTGCTATAAATAGTGGGTCATTTAACATTAGCACTCCTATAACTTGAACGCTTGAAGTTCTTGCAATGCAGTTTTCACATTAGTGCATGAGGAGGAGTGCTAATTGATACGTGTATTCATTTCTATTTTATCATTTCGTTTTACGAGATATTTGAGGTAACTTTGTTCCAAAGTTCTAGCAGGTGCGAAAGTTACGCGACTCACCCGGTATATTGGCAATTTACTAGAAATATAATTGCCCAAACTAGTTTACTTT